ACAAAAAAAGAGATTTGTATTATTTGAATCATCATTTCTTATATAAGACGACAAAGAATATTTATATATTTGTAATTTGTAAATACATCGTCTTTACAAAAAGTTTGTTATAGCTTATATATAATTAACGGTCATTCATTGTAATTAAAATATAAGTCATTTAATGTTACAAAGCTAATATATATAGATCATCTAATCACACAGGTTATCAAATGAACTGTCAAAAATATTTGTATTTAAGCATGTGCGATATACCTATATTACCACCACACACATATTCAAAGATTTATATATATATATAATTGTAAGAGATCTTACATTTCTTTTTTTTGTATACAAACTTTTTCGTAAACATTTGTATAATTTATAATTATTAATAAATTCATAAAAATTTCACAAGAAATACTCTTTGTATTTGATGCTCATTTTTATATATTTGTTCTAGATTAATAAAACAACATGTAACTTTGCAATCAAGTGAAATACAAAAAAATCGAGAAAATATCAGAAAATTTTTAAGAATATTTAGTTTTAAAGGATTCTGATATCTAGATACGCGACTTTAGTCTTTTTTTTTTGTCATACGCGTTTGGCTTGCAAATTCGTTTGAATTGGCCTTAAAGTGCTGAATCAGGTTAGGTTAAGTCAGAATGACGTACGAAGCGACACACACTGCATTTAACGTGCGATGTGTCAAATTGACACTCGTTCGTTAACATGCTCTTTCATATTATTTGTTTAACGGTGTAGTGATTCACGTATTTCGGTCGACTATGGATTACACCTACGGCGAGTAAGTGAAATAATATTGAGACATGTTCGATCGTGCGTTTCGTTTCTAACATTACTTAATATCCGGGTTAACTTTCCACTCTCTCAACTCTCTTATCATATTTATCTCCCGCACCGTGTGCACAACCGTGACTGCTTTGTGCGTATCAACGAACTGCTGTGCGCATCGTCGATCTAACAATGTTTCGCGAATTTACCAGCGCGCGTAAATAAAATTATGGAATAGTACGTTGTGTTGTATCACTTCGATGTAGTTTGTTTCACATATTTTCAACTCTATTCCCAATTCTCTTTGTTAAAGTATAATAAAAGCTGACGTACGCGTCACATTGTCGATGTGATTCACACTTCTTATTTTGCAATATCCCTTGATATTTCAGCTCGACTTTGCACGATACACCTTCTGCAGAAACGTGCATTCCATTCCCCCGGAACAACAGAACAATCATCACAGATGTTTATGCAGGAATACCTGATAACTTGTTATTTAATACAATAGGCTTTCTGGTAAGTTTTCAGCTTCTTTTCTACGAATTGACATTATTATAGAAACGATGATTAGTTATTAATATACAACGGAAGGATCTTAGCTATTGATACAATATCTAACACAATACAATGTTATTGCACAGCTTTTACTTATTTTATTTGGCCTATTACGTAAGAAGGCATGGAACTACGGACGTTTAGCGTTACTGCACAAGTCCGACAACAGATGGATGGAATTGTTCTATGGTGTTAATGAAAACAGAGATACCGATCCCTTGTGTATAGAAGCTTCTGTCGATTCTCAGTTTTCTCAATTGGATAAAGGATTTCTATCGTGGATTGTCACTGCTTTTAAGATTACGTTAGTAATTTCGGGACATTCTTGAAATATATATCTTATTGTTTACATATCATTTTTGAATCATAAGCGTATATATTGTAATTCATTTTTATAATTGCAGTGACAATGAATTATTGCATCGTGCAGGCCCTGACGGGCTATTGTATATTTTGTTCGAGCGTTGCTTAATCATCTTGACCGGTATGATGGTTATTGTATCACTGTGTATAGCTTTACCAATAAATTTCCACGGAAATATGCAAGGGGATAATACAACATTTAGTCATACAACATTATCAAACTTGGAGCCTACTTCTTCTTGGATTTGGGTACACACGATATTGATCTTATCTTATCTGCCAGTTGGTGGGTTGATTATGAGACGCTGTTTAAAACAGGTATCAAGCTTATCATATAAAACACTGATATTACGCGTTATTTATTATAATGTTCTGTTTTATATATTCTATATATGGAATACCTGAAAAAAAATGATTATATATGATTAAATATAATTATATAAAATCATACATGAATTTTACCTATATATGTGATTACATATATGATCATATATGTATATATGAAAAAAATTATGTTATGTCGTTTAATTAAATGTCAATATCATATGCTGTGAGAAGCACATGTAGCCAGAAGCATTTACTTTGATTATATTTGCATATATTTTGTAAACAGTATTAATATTAACAATAGTATTTTTTAGTTGTGAACATAATGATTATATATGGTCATATATAGGCAAATTTTACACACGATCTTTTTTTCCCCGAATGCTTTTTTGCTTATATATATTACATACATAAAAATTTATATACATTAATTACAAAAATTTGCAAACATTCATATAGGTACGAGATACTAGGCCTACTGGCGAATTAGCAGCAAGGACGTTATTAATTACAGACATACCAAAACACCAGTGCACCATTGAAAGTCTTACCGAATATTTTAAGTACGTGTAAGATGAAAGAACTCTTTTTAATTGTAAATTCTTCCTCAATTCTCCCAAATGATATTTGTTACTAACACAATTTAAGATAAATACATGAAGACTTTCTATTAATTACACATTCTTTCTTAATATTTATGTTGGTAACATTTAGACTCACATGTGTTAATTGTTTCAGAGAAGCATTTCCTACCTTAACAGTAGAAGATATTACTTTGGCTCATGATATAAGACGTCTTTCAAAGTTAGATGCGGAAAGGGATTGTGCGGAACAAGCGCGCTTATACTGCGAGAGTTATGCTAAGAAGAGAGAACCTTTGAAAATGTATCCTTATCCGTGCGGTCAAGTTCTTGGACATTGTTGCAAAAAGGTAAAACTACAAATGTCTGAAAACACTTGTTTTAAATGCATTGTCATGTAAATCTATGTCTGTATCACATTTGTAAAATTAAAACACAGCAAGTAGACGCTCAAGAATTCTACACCAATGAAGAAATACGACTAACGGCATTAGTTGAAGAGGAAAAGAAGGTGGCACTCAGTAAACCTCTTGGAGTAGCTTTTGTGACTTTAGGTATTCAATCGTTGTGCACTTAAAAATATATACAATGCCTTTTTGCCGATTAGCAAAACGATTCATGAAGGATAATTGGTAGGAACACCTGGTGCAGCCAAAACTATGCGAAAACAACTGAGATCTTTACCGTCTATAAAATGGATCGTGGATTACGCACCAACGCCGTCAGATATATTTTGGGAAAATTTGAGCATTGCTAGACCGTGCTGGTATCTGAATGCCGTATTAATAAATGTCGCACTGGGGCTTATATTATTTTTCCTCACTACACCAGCTGTAAGTTAATTTCTTTCTTAACGAGACTAATTTTTTAATATATGAATATATAAATTGAATAATAATATAACAATAAATATAACAATGCAATTGCCACTTTATAATCTTTGAAGAATTCTTTCTCGATTTTCTCTGCATTTCGATAAAGGAATTATCAGGGAAAGGATATATGATAAATTGTTATTCACTTTTCATTTCAGGTCATAGTGACAGCCGTTAATAGATTACCAATTACTGGAGAAATTAAAAATTTGAACCCAATAGTTTCGTCCTTCTTGCCTACCGTGCTGTTAGTGAGTGTAGCCGCGTTAATGCCCGTGTTAGTTGCAAGAAGCGAATCGCTCGTTAGGCACTGGACCAGAAGCAGTTTAAATCGTGCTGTAATGAGGAAAACATTGCTCCTTCTGTTACTAATGGTGCTTATATTACCTAGTTTAGGATTAACCAGTGCACAAGCGTTTTTAGATTGGACGGTAAATGCTCGAAATAACACGGCAAGATGGGAATGCGTGTTTTTGCCAGATCAGGTAAAAAATGACCGTTTTTGCAACTTCAATATTTGCCAGGCTTAAATACACAAATGTTACAATTTACAGGGTGCGCTTTTTGTAAATTACGTTATAACAGCGGCCTTATTCGGAAGCGGATTGGAATTGGTCAGGTTCCCGGAACTCGCGCTGTACACCTTCAGACTTTGCATAGCTCGTAGTCGAGCAGAAAGGATACATGTTAGAAAAGCGGTATTGTGGGAATTTCCATTGGGAGCTCATTACGCATGGTTGCTATTAGTCTTCACTATGACGACCGTGTACAGCCTAGCGTGTCCTCTGATCACTCCTTTTGGTTTGCTATACTTCGTAGTTAAACACTTGGTACGTTGTGACCGTGACTAAAACTAGACGTCTTAGTAATAAAATAATATTGGAAAGTAATGAACGAAAAATATCCAAAAGATCTATACATAGCTGCGATATTTCTTATCATCGGTATCGTTGAGTTGCAATCAACGTTTCTTACGTATATCTCTTGCAATAAAACTTATCTCATTCAGGTGGACAGGCATAATTTATGCTTCGCTTACGGACCAAGCATCGGCGGTGGCCAATTGGCGGGAGCGGCGGTCGGTGCCGCAGGAGCCGCGCCTGTTTTAGCGCAAGCTGCTCTTTTAGCCATAGGTCTGGTAAGAAGAGGTCTATCTCCGTTAGCCGCGGTGCAACTCAGCGGCCTCGTTGCGAGTATTCTGGGCCTAGTGACTGGTGCCGCGTTACCGTTCTCGAAATCTAAGGTATTTACAGGATTATTATGAGAATAATTTTAAGATACGTACTGTGCCTCATGAACTATCGTTGGTCCGTGTTTCTGTGAAACTGGTCGATTTTTTCGTTACAGGCACAAGCGCCGAAGAGGGATCTTTCAACGGGCCAGAATTTCGTTGCGCCGGTATTGCGAAAGAATCAGTCGTCTATGGAGGAAACCATATCGACCATTTCAGACTCCAACTTACCAAGCCCGAGAAGCACCACTTCTACCTTACAAGAGAGCCCAAAGCTTTACCAAAACTACGGCAGTGAACAGAGAGTTTAATAACTGTGTTTATAATACTCTGTCTGATATCTCGAATATAAGAAGCTCTGTAAACTTATTTAACAAATTTGTTCTAAAAAATATCAGGTAATTACGTAACTTGCAGAAATTATCTAGCACAAATAATGTACATTCTGAACATTTCTTACACGAAATTGTTATATGTTTCATAATGCAAATTAGTGCAATTAATTTAGGACAAAAATCGCATAATACTTTACTATCGATCCAATTATAACACACACATACACACACACACATATATATATGTTGTATGTATGTATGTGCGTGTGTATATATTCTTACTTGATACTCATAAAAATCTTCACTTTCTCCACGCGCAATATGCTTGACAATGTGATAAGAATATGTATATTGTATTTAACATATACTTCTTTATACTTATAAGAATTGTTAATTATTAAGAATCCTATAAAGCCTTACTAACGATATGCTTCAGAAAATTATTTAAGGAATCTCATTTACAAACGAGAAAAGAGCAGATAGATTTATTTTATCGTTTCGAATTTATCGGTGAGAAAAGATGAAACGTCTATTAAGTACGTTTATTACATTACAATATTATAACTTTGTATCATAATACCGTTAACATTGCTATATGTAATATTGCTATGTAATAATATTAAAAAAAAAAGGCTAAAGGCTCACCGTACATATTCTACATGAAAATAATTCTTAATTAAGTGTGAGTCACCTTCTGTTTCCACTTAATAAATATTGATGTTAATATTTTTTACAAATATTTGCAAATTTTGTATAATAATATGTACATATCACACATATTATTGCATATTTGTAATAATATGTATACGTAGAAACAGAAGATGTGACAGAAACAATGATTTGGTAGATCGATCATTTTTAAACCTAGGATGCTTAAATAAGTTTGGAGGTTCTGTAATATATATTTATTTTCACGTTGTTATATTTATATTTTCGATTAAACTCATGTATAATCTTTAGAGTATAATCTTGAAACTACCAACCTGTAATATCCGCATCTTAAATGAGTCGGAATTATTTTATTTTTATTTCAAAATTTGCAGGCTGTTTTGTCGGAAATTTGTGCTTCCTAGGGTTAAATTAGATCGCGTTACGATTATCGGAGCGTAAAAAAGGTAAATGTAAGCAGGATGTTTTATTTTGTTTCATCGTAAGATGAAGAAAAGCACCATGTACTTTTATGTAATTTTTATCCTGTTTATACCTGGAAGTACTTTACAATTACATGTATGTATACATAATAAAACCTTCAACATTAATATATATATACACACACATCTTAAAATTTCGGAATTCAGCTTTGTTTGCCCCGCATTTTTTGTTACAGATAACTCGATGTACATATACATGTATGTACATACAACTTCTTAAATATTTTTACGATTATGTGATAATTATCAATTGTTGTGTTCGTTATTCGCGATCTACACGTATCAACTTATTACTATATGACTTATTTTGTACACGATCTCTGACACGATATCTCAATATAAGCACACTATAAAAGAAATTAAAAAATTTATATTTGTAAGTATAAATTTCCATAAACAGTACAGTTTTTTCCGAATGTAAGGCAGTGAAAATACTTTATTACTTTATTGTTTAATTCGGCCTAAGACAAACGATACAAAAGTAATGTGAATTTAATACGTCCCATCACTTTGACATATGATTCTATATATTCTTATAAATAAATATAAATAAATAAGGGTAAAACACCAGAAAATATATATCACATACATTAAATCCACAAATATATAAATATGACTAAAATTAAAAACTTGCTTAATTTTTTGTCTTATCAAGGCACTAGTTATCGCGTAACATTTTTATAATAAATATTTCGAACTTAGAAGTGTAAATGTTAATTTGCTCTTCGAATTGTTTTCGAGATAAATAGATAAGATACTAAACAAATCAAAGAAAGACTTACTGAGAAACTGTATGAATTATTCATGTTATATATTTATATAATGTGGGGAGAGATTACATTATTTATTATATGTAGTGATGGAACGTTTTTTTATTCACACAAACTACCGCCAATTATAGCTTCCAATTGACTAGATGTAAGATTATTTAATTCTTCTGCTTGATTTTCTTTCCTCTGTAATTTAAGAGACAAACGATGAAATGTTTTTTTCTTCGTTGCCATTGAATCTTTATCATACGATGTAAAACTAGTCTCGAGATTGTTTTCTTCTCCCTCCATCTGAGATTCTTCACTCTCTTCGCTGCTCAGATGAACCTGTGAGGTATATTGCCGTTTAAGACGACTCTTGCTCTAATATAATACGATATTATATTGAAGAATGTATAATCATTATAAAATGATATGATAAGAATTGCATAGAATCTGATTGACATTTAAATGTGATGTGCAGACATTGATTGAAACTGATATTAACATATTAAAGTCCGTATAATTTTAGGAATGTTTCGTAATAATTTAGAATTGTTACTCACCATATTAAATCTCGGAGTTAAGCAAATAATAATAATGAATGAAGCAACGTTTTTTACTAACTGAGATTAATACATTCACTTACTACTATGATTATCCGCATACAAATCCAATATACTGAAAAAACACTCGCCGATGGACAATAAAACACGTGAAGTTAAATAAAACGGTTTTCTTTTTTTTTGTTAGGTGTCACACTATTGCCAATTTGAGGGAAGGGATGCTGGGAACATGAAAAATAATTAAAAAAAAAATATAGGCGTTCTTTGTTTTGCTTTTTTTCGAAACATGCTCTACCTTTCAATATTACAACATAATCTTCACAATATTATAACAATGATTATTGTTTCTGATGTACAACATCACTGCGACATAGATTCAAATAAAACTTCGATGTATAATGTAATACAGATAAAATCGCCGTTCTCAAAGAGTATCATTTTCTGTACTACGATTTCTATGCGCAAACTAAGATTTGGATCTAGACCTCTGTAGATATAATTTCTGTAAACATGGATTCAGCATAAAGTAGTACGGGTTGTTACAATATAAAGCGAACAAAAAGTTCATGAAGTACTTTGATAAATTACAAAATGCATTCACTGGTTTATACAATCTCGGATTGTAGCCTCATGTGAATTTTTCAACGTAAACTCTTTCTCTCTCTCATGCTCTACCACCACCAAAGTAATAAATGCAGCCAATTCAATTGTGCACAAATAAAACGAAAATTTACAAATGAGGATAAAAAACGAAACGTTAATTGCATTTGATGCATGAAGTATACTACGCGAAGCTGTACGATGTGTAATTACAACGTCATGTGATTGTCCGACGATCTTCGCGATCTTCGCGTAGATTTACTATGTGATGACACAGATAGAGTGTAAGGTTTCATCTCACCTCTACAATAGCAACTCTTGGTAATGGTTCTCGCGTAGTAATTTTTTCCATCACGATAGAACTATTGGAGCTCGTGGAAGAATATTCTCTGTCGGTTTCATTATCGATATCCGAATACTCTTTCTCGCCTTCGACAGATTTTCGTACATCAGCATTTACATGTAATTTACACACCACGCCACTCTTCTCGCTATGTTCGAACAGGTTTCCCTCATGATGAACTAGAAATAGAAGTAATGGTGCCAATTTTTGCGACGTATTGTAATGTCATGTACATGTATCTAATGTTTTGAAACCATCGGATGTTGCTTAAATTCTTAAATTAATCAAAATCGTAAACTTATATTTATATTCAGAAACGTATAGTCAAGATATATAATCAATGTTGTAACAGATACATTTTTTTATGTAACTAGATGCAGATACTGGAAAGGAAATGTAAGTAGATACAAATATAAGTTTGAGGTAAATAACTAAATATAGGTACCTATACTATGAGAATATATATCTAGACACTTCTTGAGGTATATATTCTTATAATATCCCTATATTTAATTATTTACTTCAAATTTATCTACGTATCTACTTATATTTTCCTTTTAGTATTTGTATCTAGATATTTTAAATGTTACAACACTGCATATAGTGTAAAATATCTTCCTTCATTTTATATATTTTATTCTTTTTTTTATTAAGTATATGACATAAATATAATTTTATTATTTATATTTTTCCCTTCCCTCTCCCCAATAGATACGCTCACATTTATTTTTGCATAAGTCATAAATTATCATCAAATTTAGAAGCTTAACGTTTTTCAATATAAATATCAATTTAAGGGTTAGTCATATTTTCTTGTAGAAACATGGCACATGAATATGCGACAACAGTGTTTGCATTACCTTGGCAAAAGGCAGTGCTACAGAAGGAACAGTGTGTTGATGTTCGACGGCCGCATTCTAAACAATAATGCCAAGGACAACTGAATTTCGATTCCGTGCCATCAAGTGTCACACAAGTCCTATGATATTTCTTTCTACATGTTCTTTGTTGGCAGATCAATGGCTCATTCGAACTTGATATCTCTTGCCCGCATTGCCAACAAGTTAACTTCATCGATCTAAATCAAGCAAGATACAAAGTCGTTAACAAAGGCATCGGTTGTACGATTAGAAGCATGATCACACGATGCAATGTGCTATGTACCTTCTGAATCGTTTATCTGATTTTCTATGTAAGAGAGCCTTTTCAACTTTCTTTGGTTGCGGAGTTGATTTTGGTTGAACAGATGATTGTACCGCCGGTAATTGCTGTTTCTGTGCTTTCAAACCGATAAAACCGCTACAATTCGGTGCACCGCAGAGACACGCTTTTCGAGTTTCTCCGTCAGACGCTAAATTATAATTAAATGTCAGCTCCTCACCGGATTCTATGTCACGCAACGCGAACAAGCCAATGCGCGTGTCGCCGTTTACCGTCCACTTCTGTGTTTCACAGTTCGGTGCACATGAATGATCTGTATACAGAGAAGCAACGACACAATTACGAAGTCAAGAAAAGGAGGATATAATCCAGACAACATAACGTCTAAAATTAAGACATTACGTTATCTGGGAAAGTAAATACGAATGAAACAATGCACACAAGTGGTTGATATACGAATAAATTCAGATAATTCGTACAATTTCAAATTGATCGTTCGAGTGGTGCACGCAATTTTTTTTAGAAATAAACTTGCAAATGGAAAGTGAGAATAGTTAAAAATAACGTTAAAATGTCAAATTTAGGTGCAATGATACCTTCGTAACGTGTTACAAAGTTGCAGTGTTGCGTACTCACTCATAAATCTACTTAGATTCCCTTTCGGCTCCGCATCGATCGTTCTGTTGTTATCGATCGTCAGAAAATAAAAGTTCTCGTTCTTCAGTTCTTTTTTCCTGTGCAACCTATGTTTATACTCCGCCTCGTCGATAACTTCGCCTACATATTCGATAACGAATTGTCCTGTCTTGATATCCTCCAGAGCTTTCAGGCCCCAACCGCGCCCGGTAGTGTGAAACGGTTCCATCGCTGGATACTTCCGCAACACGAACGACTGGTTCATGCACTTGGATCCAGCCGGACAGATACCGGGACTGCATTCAACCAATAGTATGCGGTTCAAGCAATCCGTACCGGGTGCACAAGGATCGTCCCAGGCCGGGTCGCATTCACATGCAACGATACTTTCGACCTCAACTGGTTTAACGTTACCAACCGGTTTGTTGACCTGTCATATGACCGTTTCATTAATGTTCCCTTACTACCGGCCAATAACGAAAAAAATCATAGTTTTCTCATGTACGCTACATAAATGCGAACTTTAATCTTTTAGAGCTTTTTGTTGTACGTGAGAAAGTTAATTTATTTTTTTTTTATTTTCAGTAGAACAGTAACGCAATAATGTACTGTAAAAATAATATTTGATTATTGATCTTAATAATATAAACCAACACAGTTCTGTAATCCAACTTAAACCGTACTTTCAATTTTACATATGGCGGCGGTTTCAATCCTTTTGGCTCTTTTGTTACAGACCGTTCCTCTTTCAATTGCAGGTGTATCTTGTTAGCCTCCTCTAAAGCTTTCCGATATGCATCATCCATTATTGACTTCTTACCTATAGCCGGCTTTATACTTGCGTCACCGTCTTGATACAAGAAAGCTCGTCCTCTAAAAGAATTGATTATTATATTGAAAGAATAGATAATTGTTAATTTGTACTGTCTTTTACGCATAACAGATATTTTTATTTACCTGTGTACCCAGTAATAATCATTAGATCCCAAAAACATTACACAAAATGTACCAGGACTATGTGGAATGGCTTCTACTTTTTCAGGTATTTCTGCCGGATAACATATACGAGCTGGCCACCATCGATAACTACCTAACTTTACCCATACTATTTCCCCGTATAAAGGCAATCTTCCAGTTTCGCAGTCTTCACAAAAAAACCCACCATCTGGTGCTTTTATACCTAAATTACCAAAATGCGTGATAATTATATATATTTATTAGCAATATATATCAATAAAAAATGCACTAACACAATAGTTATATATAAAGTAACTACTTTTATGTTATAAATTGCAAAAGTAATTCATTGTACACATATTTTGTATGTGTGTATATACTGATTTAATAAATCTAAACTGTAATTACTAAAGAAATGTTAATTTGCAATAAACCTACCAAGGCATTCTAAATGAAATGAAGTTGGACATGTGTCACAACATATGAGACTACCGCCACGAGTGCATAAAAAGCACCACGCCGCATTCGCCGGTGGTTGGGGCGCTTTGTAATGCTTTGGGCATACAATTTGACTACCTGTCAAAATCACCGAGCCAGCAGGTAAGCACAATGTAGATGTGTGATAAGACGAAGGACAACGGACGCATCTTGCGATTTTCTCATTCGGTGCACGCGAATGATTGTCCTGTGGATTATCGGAGCTGCAGGTGTGACACAAGTGGTACGGACAAGTCAGACGTCCACCTTGCCAATGCGACTAACAATGAAGTAAACATTCGTTATCGTTAGAGAAGTGATACCAATAATTTGGAATAATAGCGAAATACCTGACAGTACGGCTAGTAGCTATAGAGAACTTTACCTGAGGCCATGATTTCAGACACATGGAATGATAATGCTTTCCACAAGCCATTACCGAACATCTTATCCTGTCTCCTTCCCTCTCGTTGCATATAAAACAAGCGGGTGCTACTCCTGACAGACAATCGATACACTTGAACATTTCGTCTTCTTGTTCTTCCATTTTAACTGAATCAATAATACATCAATCAATAATAGACAAGAAACTAAGATTATTAATATTATTGAATTATCAACACCCTAAGTTTGCATCTGGAACTAATAATTCATCGTCATCATAATTACCATTGTCATCTCCGCCACTAATGCTTCTCTTAATCACGTTTACATCGTCGATTATTTTATCTTCCGATGTATTCTCGTCTGCAGAGTGTTCTGGACTAGATTCGCCAGGTTTCACACAGGGCAAATGAAAATACGAATAACAAGGCCCCTTACACCTTGTTAGCTTGCCGGTCTTCTCACAAATCTGACAAACCTTTTCCTGCTTCATACCTTTAAAAAGATTATGTGGTCTACTACGTTTTGTTTCTGAGACTGAACTCTCGTCCTTGTCAACCTTATTCTTCGCTTTCTTATTTTCTTTTACGTTCGTATCGATGCCCGTGGACATTTCGTCGTCATGATCCGAGGAACTTTCTTTCGAATGTTCACTGTTCTCACGTGTCATGTACGTCCGATATTTCTTTCGGAATGCTGGCTCCATACTGTCCCAGGTATTTCGCAGATACTTCTTAATGTCATGTTCTGACGCGGCCGGATATTCGTCTTCCAACATGTCTTTGTTTCGCTCATAATAAATTTCAAAAATACCGTCTTCGTCCTCATCGTTTTTATCAATTTTTGTATTCGACGAACTGTCATCCTGAGACTTATTGCTCGAAGGGGACGAAGACCTAACTTCGAAATTCAGTTTTGCGTCGAGCTTACCATTTATGGTAAATCGCTTTTTTGATTTCGGTTTTTCGATCTCGTGCGATTTCGTTCCTTCCGCTTTACGCGGAGATTTTTCTGTGTTCTCTTGTTTGATACGTTTGATATCGGGGCCATCTTGATCATTAGAATTTTTCCTCTTGCTACTTTTATTTTTTTCATCAATTATGAGTGTCTTTGAACTGGCCGATCTCGAAGCTTTAACTTTCGGAGCAAACATTTTGGCTCTCTCCGTGATCGTCATCAATTGCACTTCTAAAGCTTCTTCGATGGCGCTTTCCCATTTTGACTTGGTCGATTGTTTTACAGTGAAAGCTGCAGTATATTTAGGATCCTTCTTCTTCGGATCTGATGTCGCCAATTCTGCTGCTTTCTTGAAGTCAGCAAGATTTGTAAATTCCATCATACATTTTGAGGAGACCCAGCTGTGACGTCCTCTGTCTCCAAAATATTGAACATGTATCATTAATACATGTGTTTTATGTGCTTTACCTCTAACTGTAAAAGAAATCACAAAAGAACTGTTCAATAATTTACAAACATCATTGTATTTCCTATATAATAATGATTATTGTGTAATTTTATTATCATAGTTCATCACATTAGACATTTAATGTAACTATAATATTTCAATTTTTTAAATTTGTTTAAATGTTTCTATAATTCATCAGATATTATAATTTGAAAAGATAAAACATAAATTTACCTAAAAATTTATAATATATCATCGAGCTTGGATCAGGTGTTACAATGCAAGGCCAAAATGGAAAATTTCCAACTCTGGCCCATGCTAAGTGTCCTGCAACCCAGTTGCATTCCAAAGTACTAATTCCTTTCAATGGTGAGCTCTCTCCAATATAGTTCATGGTATTAGTGGAGATGTCACTGGCTTCATCTGCATTGCTACTTACATTATCCTCATGTATACTTTCATTATTACTATCAGTGGAATTTTGATGTCTACGTATCTTTGGCATTAGTGAATTCTATGAGGTCACAAGAATAGCACATATTATATTACACAACTCATAAACAAATGTCAGTGACAAAAATTACAAAGCAACATTTTCAAGCAATAATAAAAAAGGAATAATATGTATGTATTAAATTATGCGTGTTTGTATATTGCAGAATACACTTTTTACTTAATCTTTTCAGAATAAAACCTTCCTATAACTAAAGCATTACAAAAATATTTGTCCAAAACATGGACAAAGACCAAGATTCAACGTACTTGTGGTGAATTGGCAATGTTAGTAGACTTGAACTTTATTGTTCTACCATAACGGCTCCTGCCATGTAGACTATCAGTGGAGTTATTTTCACACGAGTTCTCATGGTTGTCGCGTGCATCCTCGTTCCCAGCCTTAGTCTGTTCCTCGGACTCTGCTTGGGGCTGGTTAGTTGGCGTAGATGCTTTACTAGTGTTTGTGCTGGTAGTACTCATAATGCTCTGATCAGTGAAGCATTTTCATACTTCTCGGTTTGAAATGCTGTAAGTCATGAAAATACATGAGAATCTGCGACAACAACCACTGACGAAGATCGCAGAATACCAGCAGCAAAGACACAGACGTCGAAAATATTACTCTCAACCGCTGGCATTGAGCAACCTACCCTCTGATTTTCGAGGGTTACCTTCTTTCTCACTAATAACTTAATCTATCTCATCCGTAGACTCACACTAATTTCTACACGGCACTGGCGTTCACGCGAACCTGTCTGTCACCGGACAAGCCGTCGCAATTGTTAATAATATGGAATTACGGGCAAACCTCACGGAACTCCAGAAGAGAGGACGCGTTTCCCGCGATTTTAGGCGATCCTCATAGCCGCGTTCGTTTTTCTCGAAAAAATCACTAGAATCGCGAGACACTAGTGCATGCTTTTCTCGACAAGCACGCCGCATACCACAGACCAGAGGAAAGCCTGAGAGGGGCTACGGCAATGATTTATGGAGGATTCTCATTGCGATGTCCGATACACATGACGTCCGATATTCATTGCCAGTATTGGCAGCGCGCTATGAATATCGTTCAAAAATGCGCTGCAGTATGCTTTCGACGAGCGCGTGAAAGCGTGTAATGTCATCGATTTTGTCGTTAAGCCCGTATTAGACTACGGATTAGGGATTGAGATTGGATTACAATTTAACCAATCAGAGCAAAGTTCACTACACTCAAATTTAGCGGATCTTGCTCTGATTGGCCAAATTTTAATTCAATAGTCTAATACGGACATTAGGGTGCTGTCGCATGGCAATAAAAAAGCGGAAACTGAAAAGATATTGTGGGGAGTGACCAATCGGAATCATGGAGAATTCACACCGCGTCCGGCGTCTAACGATCCGATATCTAATAAGAGATTTCACTTCATGGGGTTCTCAGCTAGCAATACGTTTGTCTCTAGAAAACTTATTTCCCTATTGAATATCAAATGTCGTATGTGGAATAATTCGTCAATATAATTGGTCAAAATTGAGATCTAATGGTTTCTGCCCACAGCTTGGTCTATAATGTGCTCTTTGCGTCTTGTTTCTTGCTCTCTATCTTTCTTCTGTAAGAACTTCTATTTACTCATGGAAAAAAGAGCAAGAAACTAGGTGCGAAGAGCACATTGTAGATCAGGCTTAAGCGTCAGTAGGGGCTAAATATATCTTAATCAAGAAAATATATCATATATGTATAAAAGAATAGTTTCAACATTGCATTTAAATTATCTGACAACCTATATTAACGCCATCTACAACGTGATATTGAATTACATTAAACGATCTTTTCCTTCTCGGAGAAACGGGGTTGAGACATCTACATGTTTCACCTCACTTACAAAGGAGGGGAAATTTAATGCAAGATTACGAGGAATTCTCGTAACAAAGTCATGTCAAGATGCGCAAGCGCGCGCGCACGGGCATACGGCTATGTGGCGTATAACAGTGTCGGGAGAGGGAGCGAGTGAACAAACGAGCGTCGGAAGAGGAGAGAGAGAGCAAGAGGAAGTCTGGGTTAAATCAGATTCTTTTTTTTCTCCTTAACGCGTATGTACATACATACGTGTATACTTTCCGCAGTGCGTGATGTTTCGGTGAGTCCAAGTGTGTCATCTCCTACGAGGGCGAGAGTAAATGGAGAGCTGTCAGATGCGGCGTGACGACGCAGTCATCGCGGCCGAAAGGCGAGTAGATTTGTTTACACTTTATTGCAAGTAAATATACCGATACACGCCGGTATGCTGGGTCCACCGGGTTTTCGTCGTCACAAGGACGCACAAGCGGCGCAAATTAAACCGAGTCCTTGACCTCGGAGTCTTGTGACGGAAGCGGCGAAATCTTACTATGCAACTGCATTTAACATCTCGTGAGAGATGCATTATTCACACCTGTTATTAGATCTATTCGTTTTATAGATTTGGTTGATTAGATCTATTCGTTTTATAGATTTGATGAATTCAACTGTTCTTGTGGACAGATCTGATTGATATTCTAACAGGATTCATTCCTGTTGTTTCTAGAACTAGCACGAGTGAGAGCCTAGTAATGAAAATGTTGGATGTAATATATATGCATCAATATACCATTTTATAATTATATCGATGAATATCTACGTAAGAATATCGGTGTAAATTCTGACGATAGATAAGAATGTTTATGCAAGTATTCAGAGAGCAGCATTTAAATAAAACTATTAAAACATTTTATTAACTATTTGTCAGTTATATTATTATAAAGATCTTTTGAAACATTAGAGACAGACGCAAGCAGGATCATGTGTTTATAGTTATCAGAAACGTAGCTAGTAACGTGTTAGCAATATGATAAGAGTAGTCATAAAGTTCCGCTATTCAATTGTAGCTATAAAAATGAATTCAGTCTTTGTAGCAACTATATTAACAGTGCTTCAAGGCTTCAGTGCTTATGATTATTTAACTTGACATTTTTTATGAATTTATTATATTGAAAAGTATCAATACATATTAATCAAATATATATATTTATACATACATATATACATACATACATACATACATACATACATATATGTGTATAATATATTCTATAAACAATTGTTGATAATAAACTCCAGATTTAAATGGAAATAATATATATATATTAAAGTAATAACTAGTAACTCAGTTAAAAGTTAAGTTAAAAAAATTAATAACTTTTAACCCTCCATTAATCACAATATTTTTTACCCATGAATGGTCACAATATATCACACAGATATACTAATTTTCTCATTATTTTCCTCTGTTTCTTGAAACAATTTTTCTTTCATTAGCATTTGGCTAACAGACCAGGCACTAAGGCACAGTATTGGTCAGAAAGGTTGCGACATTTTTTTTTATAAGCTCTACAACACATATATGTCCAATGGGAAAATGTATTTTTTAAGAATAACTAACAAATTTTCCTATTGGACGGGGTAAGTTCCGACATTTATCCGAAAAATAATGTCGTAACTTTTTTGTCCAAGACTGTACATAAAAAACACGAAGAATGTAGAATGAAAAGAGGAAACATCGATAAGGACGAGTTCGACCTTGAGGCCATGTATCAAACGGCGATGCGTTGCAGCCTGAACGTATCTATTGGATACACTTGCGACTAACGGAGGGTGAACTCTGTTGATTTTAAATGAATTAACTTTTAACTTAAGCTGATTTAAAATATATTTAACTTTAACTTATTATACTTTTTTTATACGAGTTAAAGTAATCAATCTTAAAATCATTGGAGTTGCTTATCATATAAAATAAGAAAAATAAAAAATATAATATCAGCATAATTTCTTCTGTCTCTTTGAGTGCCGGTGTTCCTTGTATGGAATCCTGAAAGGTTTCTCTTGTGTGCGCTCACTAACTTTTGACAGATTAAAAAGATATTCATTTTTTTGCCGATATAGATGGACAGATTGCGACTACTGCCCGTGGATTTACCTGCAATCACTGTCAGTAGTACTGGAAACGTTAAAGGCAAGGCATCTTTCGTTCGACGATTGGCAATAGGATTTATAATTTTGGCTATACTAGGCCTTTTGTATGTACCAGCATACCACTCCGCTCAGAGTCCATTTTTAGGCTTAGGTGAGACTCCATCTCCCGCAGAACCTCTTGGCAGTTCACATTCGATAGCGTCCGTGGGTATGCATCCATTGCTTAACACACACACTCTTCATTTATGATAATACAACTTTGATCGACTATGATTAGTTGTAACATAAATGTCAATTAAATAGTATATAGTTGAAAAACACATAAATCCTTGGAATTTGAAAATAATAGCAAATGACGATGAGTATTATCTCTGAGTTTGGATGCAATATTTTTGCGTGACCAAATAATAAATAATGACGTGTATGTGTGATTTAACACAATGATAGAGATAGAGCAGTGTATTTTAATTTAGGATGCAGCAAAATGCTTTAGTCGATACGTATCTGTATGACCTTCAACATTTTTAATGCAAACGATTAATTTGCAGCACAACTACATGGATGGTCATACAATACTTCAAGAGATCTCTGTGTTTACATTCACCCGGAAAATACCACATCAATTATTAGTCCTACTATCTGCTTACCACCGCCATATCTGCTAATAATCATATGCTCGGCAGTAGCAAATCACGAGGCTCGCGTTGCTATCAGGAATACCTGGGCCAACAAATATAACTTGGATCATTCGTATAATTCCGCGGTGAAAATAGCATTTCTACTAGGACAGACTGACAACGATACACTCAATGTAAGTATCCCTCTCTGCTCTATCTCTGCGGAATTTCCCGTCGAGTATTCATCTCGTTATTTGTCGCGCTTCTTCTAGAATTTGATTGTCGAAGAAAGTTCTCAATATAATGATATTGTACAAGAACGTTTCTTCGACACGTACAACAATTTGACATTGAAATCAGTCATGATGCTGAAGTGGGTAACATCGAATTGCGATCAAGCTAAGTACCTAATGAAGACGGACGACGATATGTTTGTGAATATTCCCTTGCTCCTGCAAACGTTGCGCAAATTACCGCAAACTACCGAGACTCTGCTGGGTTCTCTTATTTGTAACGCTAGACCAATATTAGATCCTAAGAACAAGTGGTGAGTGTCTGTATGTCGTCCATTACGTACATTATTCTGCATCGATGTTGATCGTTCTTATTCGCACAGGTATACACCAAAGTACATGTACCCGGAGAAAACATATCCGAATTACTTGTCAGGCACGGGGTATGTTATGAGCACGAGTGTAGCATCTAAGTTATATCAGGCGGCGTTAGTGACACCTTTGCTGCATTTAGAAGACGTTTACATCACGGGTCTGTGCGCGAAGCGTGCTAAGATCCGACCCGTCAATCATCCGGGATTCAGTTACATACCTCGTAAAATAGATCCCTGCGTACTCAAGAACGCCATCACCACGCACAAAGTTAACGCGTCCAATATGTACGTGATTTGGGTGAAGCTGAACGACACGAGCGTAACCTGCAGCAATCACACTCGTACTGATAGAAAGCCGGCTACCTTGAGTCGAAGCGGCAGGCATGCCGGCTACTACGTTTTTAAGAGGAAAACTATAACCCGGTGCGTTTAGATGTTTCTGATAATATTGATTTCGTGCATTATAATACGATCGTTTGTGTGATGCGAATATGTGACGCAGAAGTGATAAAGTTGATTTTGTAATTTCGAAACACCGTACGTAGTGTCAGGAAACACGGTACGGTAGCTACAGCTCTTCTTTATCTGTGATGTTGTTTTGAGAGTAATTGCAATTATTCAAGCGAATTTTTTTAAGCCACGCGTCTCGTACACGCCATTCGCTTTTTGTTTTGTCGAGTCTCTGTTACGAGCAAGTTGAAACGTTGAATGTCAGAAAAGATCTGAGATCAGTGAATCTCCCATTCAAACACCAGGCTGTGTCAACTTTTCACTGTTAGTTTACGATTGATAGCGAGCCTTTAAGTTTCGCATAAGATTACGGCTGACTTATACTGGCAGTCTGACTGATCGTCGGTTAGCGATCCATCATCTCCCTCCAGATCATGGTTTTGCGTGTAGTGTAGACGAATACAGCGAAAAGAATTTAATTGATTAGAATTACAAGGTTAATCGACATTGGTGTAAGCCGGCCCTATGCATTTTTCGGAAGAGGAGTGATCGTTCAGACGTTCATCTGTCCAGATCGAACAAACGTTCGGATTTGCCCGAAGGTGTTTTATATATTTTTCTATTTAGACCAAAGTAGTATTTAAGGATATACGCTGTCAATTAGATATTTTACATAATTTGACTTCTTCGCCTCTTTGTGTAAGGCACGACGATTTAATAAGGAAAGAGCCTGTGGCACATGATCTTCAAAGGACAAACGTTATTGTGTTATTACGAATGATTTAGTTAAGCGTCAGGCTTATGGATTGACTTTTCCTAATCACACGTTTGCATGGTGTATCGCGTATTGCACGCATAGAAAATACTCCAGGCGACAATTCTGTTCCGAAATGGCTCATCGTGTGCGACGTACAAAAATTGAGAATTGAACAGCTGCTTTCCGAAGGCTACGGGAGAGAGGGGAAGGGTGGGAGACGACATTCCCATCTTATACACAGATAATCTCCATATAATACTGTTGCTTCCAGGTACTTATATAAAATTGTTTAAGAATGTAACAGCGCTGATCTCCACCCCTCTCCCCTAGGATATTATTAATCTACACGTTTCAAAATCTCTCGTATAGCCTTGTTTCCTGAGTATGTACAATGTATAAGCTATAACCACGAGAAAATCGCTTCCTCGATGTGGTAACGTAAGATGTAGATATCTTTTTTTCTATTTAAACAACAAATTGCAATGCTAATGATTCAATTTAAAGAGATCTGACATTGATATCGAGTAAAATTAATTTGTTCATTATATCTCGAATATTTGTGCATAGAGATCATACGTTATTAATATGTATATTATTGTTTCGTAAATTTTGGATTTTAAATTTTTATTGATATAATTTTTATTTTTACCTTATGTGTGTATATATATATATACATATATACATATATATATATAAAGTGAAAATAGAGAAATATTTCAAAATTAAAATTTTATAATATTTTTATTTGTATTAATAGAAACAGTTACAAAAAGCGTATTATATATTTGTTGTATTATACTCTGTTAATATGAAATTTATACTAATTTGATGACGAAAATATTTATTAAAAAATTCGAAATAATTGATCTTAAAGATATAAAAGAGTTTCTGTTAATTATATGAAAGTAAGTATATTTTGCAAATATTATGTAGGTAGAAAAAACTTTTGTTTATATATCTGTTCAATTTCAGTATATTAGAGTTGTATTTCGTATACTATAATATTTTACTTTTTAAAATTATTCCTCTCTTTTTAAGGCGATATAATTTCAAATGAAAATGATATATTTATGTCATAGTGTATATTATATTTGTATATAACGCGTGATTATACACACACACACACACTCTTCCAACAAAAAAATCTGAATGCACGAATCTGACTGTTTTTAATGGTATTGAAAGATCATGTAACACATAGCATTTACCGCAACTAAAGTGTGGACGAATATGAAAGAATATCACAACGCGGCGGAAGGTTTAGTTCAAATAATAGTTAAGTAAATATCCGTACCATAGGTACCAGCAGGATATCGTTTGAAATGCACAATGCGTGTGCATCTTTTTCACTTGACTTGAAGCCGTGCGTGTCACTATTTACAAATTTTTAATACACATAATTATACGATTGCAAGTGATAGACGAACAGTTAGTTATTAAGAGCTTGATGATGTAGCCTAATACTCTTGCTAGAATCTTGAATCTAAACTAGGATAAGAACTTGTTACAGCTTAATATTAAATATTAATCCGATTGAAAACGAGGAATCTGTAATACGTCGCGTAGTCATTTTTCGTCATATCAGAATTATAAATTTGAGACAGCGAATCAGTAATTTGTAAATCATATTATTATTGTGTGTATGTTCGTATGCTTCTAAATTAACATATTCCATGACGGCGAGATATTTGTAACTCGGCGACGAGGTGAAGACTACTGAAACGATCACATGGAATACCCTAGTGGCCTTAGAACATTTGCTTCATTTTATAAGAACAGACCGATCTGACCGTTAAATTTATCGTTAGAGAAAAAAAATCTAACTTACCGTAATCTCCGGTGCTATGCGACATGTGAACGAACGTTTGTCATGTTGATGGAAAATTACATAGGTGTAATGCAATATACAGTCATCCTGCGAGTCATTTTCGTCAGTCTTCATGTTGGAAATAAAAAGTCAGCTAAGATAGCATAGCATTTGAAGCTTCTTTCTTTTTAAACACTAGAATCGCGGCGATTTGTTGGATCCCTTCTAGAATCGCGAATAAGCCACTTTTGACTCACCTGTTTTTTCGTAATTATCCATGAACTTTTCTTAACTTTATAATATTGCTTGATTGTTTTACGATAAAGAAGGCTTCTCAGTAATGAAAATCAAGAAGAAAGGAGAAAAAAGGATCCACAAGTGGGTTAAAAATGACCCAACCGCGGTTCTAGTGTTAAGACACGTGAATTCTGACGACTGCGAATGCGGAACGTAAGTCGGAAAAACAGAATATAAATAGTATACCGATTTATATATTTTTTTGTGGCATATAGCATTTGCGTTATTTATATTATTTCGAAAATATGTTTAGCGTTCAAATAAGATTCGAATAAGGACCATATGTTTGTCCGAACGTACAGCAGGAATTGCGCATAAGATTGTCGTTTGAAGACAATGTAAATATTGTTACGTTGCATTTCGAATAAAGAACAAAGAACTGATGTGAAGATAAATGTTTGAAGAGTATTATTTATTAAAAATATAAGTGTACATGTACTTTATTACATAATATGATGCATGCTTTTCGTTTTACAGTAGGAACTTTGTACATATATGAGAGTTCTAGTAGTACGGAATCAGAGCAGGTGCACACTAATGGTGCACCTACATTATATGTATCATCAAACAGATACATGCTGGTAAGGAGTAAATATAATAATATAAATTGAATAAAAATTGCGGCTATGAATTCTATTTTAAACTTTGACTTATGCTAGTAATCTTTCTGCAACTAATGCAGTAAGTACTTGTGTGGAAGAATATAAATAAAAATATAATAATAAAAAATATAAAGAGCATCATATTAAAATTGTATAATATATTCGTATACATGTACAAAATATTAATTGTGGCCAGATACCATATATAATTTCACAAATAATCGATTTTTATCAAATCAAATGTTTATATATCCAGGGTTCATTTCAGACAATCTATAATATGATATCATTTGAAACAGAATGTTATGTATAATTATTATAACTTGAACGCGAGAAACGTTGGAAGATTTCTATATATGTATATGTATATATATATTTGTCAATATAATTTTAATCATTTGAATATGACAAATAAAATTACCATAAATTATAGATCGTCTAAAATGCGCTGAATATATTTTAATATAAAGTATATAATAATAA